TATATATGTGTATCATTGTATTGTTGACGTGTTATTCTAAACACGTTATTTGCGATAAATATCATCACATGCCTCGGTAGTCGAAAAGATAAGATGCCTGCCCGGTAAGCAGGAGATCCAGGTTCGATTCCTGGCTGAGGTGGTATTTTTTCGCAAAATAATTACGAGTTTTCACGACTGGTTCATGGTCGGGCCCCGCCGTGACGCACACCCTCCCTTCTTATTTGAGACAATCGGACACAGTGCCAATTGAACATAGTAGGAAATGGACGCACGGATAGTTAAATAAATAAAAGAATCTGGCAAAAAAATCTGGCGGCGATCTGTCTCGCAAACCGAGATATTAAGCGTTAAAGTTGACGACTTTTTTGCTTAGGAAATTTGTCATAGCGACGTAATGCAGCAAACTGAACATGTGTTGTGACTCTACGCATGATAAGGGGATTCGAGGAGCGAAGCCTCCGAACGGAGGTCGAGGGGGTGAAGCTCCCACTATTGCAGAACTAATTACGAAAACAATTAAAAAAATTATATTTGTAACAAAATGAAAAGATCAGCGAAAACTTCACACCCAATCTTTGCGTTGGGATCTTTGTTAATCTTTCTAGGATCTATCATTTTAGTATATGATAGACTCATCAATTTAATAAAGTGAAAGATTACGTTTTCATTCCCAAACCTTGCGTAGCGGTCTTTGTCAATTTTTCTAAGATCTATCATTTTATTAGGTGTACAAAAAAGTTCTGAGCTTTAGATTTCATACAACCGAAATAACAATTTAAATTTTATATATCTTCTCGCCCTTTGGCGGTTTTAAAGCGTTGACATTGGCCTTCTAAAATGCCATACGATTTGGCGTTTGATGCACATAATCTCAAAAATCAGTAGTGTTCACGATGGCAATAACAAAAGAGCATATTCAATTTTCCATCCACTTCGTGTTTCATCTGAAGAAAAATGCTGCTGAAGCCATTGCAATGATTTGTGTTGCATATGAAGAGAACGCTGTAAATCATACTACATGTAAAAGATGGTATCAAAAATTTCGAAGGAGATTTCAGTCTTGAAGATGAACCGCATGCTGGACGCCCTCAAAAGATTGAAACGGACGAATTGCAAGCACTGCTGGATATAAACTCTGTGCAAACTGAAAAGAAGCTTGCAGAACAGCTTGGCGTTACGCAGCAAATCATTTCCGTACGTTTACATACGATGGGAAAGGTTCAGAAGAAAGGCAGATGGGTTCAGCATGAATTGTCCGAAGACAATAAAAATCGTCAGCGTGACACTGCACTCACTTTGCTTTCAAAGTTCCGGAAAAAAGATTTTCTGCACAAAATTATTACAGGCGATGAAAAGTGGATTCTTTATGATAACCCTAAACGTAGAAAATCATGAATTGACCCTGGACAACCTTCGATATCGACGCTAAAGCCCAATATCCATGCCAAGAAAGTTTTGCTCTGTATCTGGTGGGATTGGAAAGGTGTGTTGTATTACGAGTTGTTACAACCGGGTGAAACAATCACGGCAGACCGCTACCAACAACAATTTACCAATTTGAGCGATGCATTAGAAGAAAAGAGGCCATTTACTGGTCAAGGACGTCGTAAAGTGATTTTGCTTCATAACAATGCTCGATCACATGTTGCGAAAGCAACTCAGGACCATATCTTTGCGTTAGGCTGGGAACTTCTCCCGCACGCGGCGTATAGCCCAGACATGGCGCCTTCCGATTACTACCTATTCCGATCGCTGCAGCATCATTTAGCTGATACATTTCGTGAGATTTGAAGAGATACGAAAATGCATTGATGACTTTATCGCTTCGAAGCCGGTGAGCTTCTATCGTCAAGGAATTCGCAAGCTACCCGAAAAATGGCAAAAGATCATTGATGCAAACGGGGAATATTTCGCTGATTAATATTTTTTTGTCTGTTTTTGAATAAAGATTGAATTTTACAAAAAAAAGCTCAGAACTTTTTTGTACACCTAATAGTAAGGCCAAAGATTGCATCTTGCCCTTCGAATATAGTAACACTTTTAACACTTTTTTAGGAAAACTATCACGATTGCAACTATCCGTGCGTCCATTTCCTACTGTGTCCAATTGGCACTGTGTCCGATTGGCACTGTGTCCGATTGGCATTGTGTCCGATTGGCACTGTATCCGATTGCTACTGTGTCCGATTGTTACTGTGTCCGATTGCAGCTACCATGTGTCCATTTTCTACTGCGTCCGATTAGTATTGTGTCCGATTTTCAATGTGTCCGATTTTCAATATGTCCGATTGCCACTGTGTCTGATTGCCATTGTATCCGATTTTCACTGTGTCTGATTTCAATCACTTTGTGTCCGTTCCTTATTGTACATATACATATATATATGTATATTGTAATATATGTATATGTGTGTACCAGGTGTATACATAAGTTTTTTCCGGTTTAACTAAGAGATGTCGCCAGCGAAAAGTACGCAGCGTATTAATTTGACACATACATCATTTTGTTCGTCTGACATTTAAAACTACAAACACACACAAGTTGAGTCCGCCAAAAACTAGCGTCTTTGTTTTATCGTTCAGTGATCATGTCGAGTTTTGTGCCTGAAAAAGAACATTTTGCGGCACGCATTGCTTTTTTTATTTAATCAAAAGAACAAGGCTGTTGAAAGTCATCGTTTGCTGGTAGAAACATATGGTGAACACGCTCCATCGATTAGAACATGTGAGACATGGTTTCGACAATTTAAAAGTGGTGATTTCAATGTGAAAGACAGTGAGCGCTCTGGTAGACCACAAAAATGCGAAGACGAGCAATTGCAGGAGTTATTGGATGATGACTCAACTCAAACTCAACGGCAATTAGCAGAAGCATTACATGTATCACAAGAAACAATCAGCAGACGTTTACGAGCAATGGGAAAGATCAATAAACTCGGTAAATGGGTCCTACACGATTTGAATGAACGTCAAATGGAAAATCGCAAAGTCTTGTGAAATGCTGCTTCAACGCCACGAAAGGAAATCATTTTTGTATCGAATTGTGACGAAAAATGGATTTATTTTGAAAACCCGAAGCGGAAAAAATCGTGGCTTTCACCTGGCGAAGCCGGGTCATCAACACCAAAGCCAAATCGCTTCGGCAAGAAGACCATGCTCTGTGTCTGGTGGGACCAGAGCGGTATTGTGTATTATGAACTCTTGAAGCCCGGCGAAACCGTTAATACACAACGCTATCGCCAACAAATGATTAATTTAAACCACGCATTAATCGAAAGACGACCAGAATGGGCCAGAAGACATGGCAAAGTGATTTTGTTACACGACAATGCGCCGTCTCACACAGCAAAACCAGTGAAAGACACCTTGAAATCGCTTGGATGGGACATCCTTCCGCACCCGCCGTACTCCCCAGACCTGGCGCCATCTGACTATCACCTCTTCGCATCAATGGGGCACGCGCTCGCAGAGCAGCACTTCAGCAATTTCGAGGAAGTTGGAAAATGGCTCGACGAATGGTTTGCCGCAAAAGACAATCAGTTTTTCTGGCATGGTATTCATAAATTACCTGAAAGATGGGCGAAATGTGTAGAAGCCGATGGCCAATATTTTGAATAAAAAAAATTAATTTCCTTTGAAAATTACGTGTCTTTTTTTACTAAAAAACCGGAAAAAACTTATGCATACACCTAGTATGTCATTGTATTGTTGACTTGTTGTTCTAAACACGTTATTGCGATAAATATCATCACATGCCTCGGTAGTCGAAAGGATAAGATGCCTGCTCGGTAAGCAAGAGATACAGGTTCGATTCCTGGCTGAGGTAGTATTTTTTCGCAAAAATAATTACGAGTTTTCACGACTGGTTCGTGGTCTGGCCCTGTCGTGACGCACACCCTCCTTTCTTATTGTGTCCGTTTGGACCTATATCCGATTCAATCTGCTGTGTCTGATTCTGTGCGCAACTGGGACTCACTTGCCCGAACTTAACTTTTTGAACGCGGTGCCGAAAGTGATCATCGTGGCTTTTGGTGCCGAGGATTGCTGTTCCTGACTCGTGGTTGATGTGTCTTCTTCCATTGGCAGGTAAGCTGGCTTCAGGCGTTCGACAGATAAAACATCATGTTAACGTTTTGTCTGTTGATATGGATTGTGTATAACTTCTCGTTAATGCGCTTTATTTTGTGCGGTCCAGTGTACGGCGACTGGAATGGCACCGTGTCGTCTTGGACAAAAATGTGCGTGGTGTCTTCCAGTCTGTGATGCACAAAAGGTGTCATCCGGATGACTTGTCGGTTGTGTCCTAAGATCTCGCAAGTGTCTTCGTTGTGCGGAGATGAACGTCTCAATGTCGTTCGAATGAACTTCGTCTTTCAGCAGTTCACCGGGTATCCTAAGAGATGTGCCAAACACCAATTCTGCTGGTGAGCATTTAGATCCTGCTTGTAACTGGTGCGTAGTCCTAACATCACAATCCAGAGTGTGCTAACCAGTTGTGTATTTCTTCTGCAGATGATGGCAATCTTTAACGTGCAGTGCGTTCTATCAGTCCATTCGAAGCCGGGTGGTATGGCGAAGTTCTCGTCTTGGTGGACCCCAGCAGCTTGGAAGAGGCTGCCTTCAAACTGTCGGCCCCAATTGGTGATGATGACGGCTGGAGTTCCATAGTGAGCAATCCAGTTGTCCACAAATGCTGCTGCCACCGTCTGAGCGTTGATGTTGGGTAGTGGAATAGCTTCAGATCATCTGGAAAATTTATCGATTAAGGTAAGACAATATCGATAACTTTTTACCTCTGGAAGTGAACCGATAATATCAAGAAGGATTTGATAAAAATGGCTGTCTGGCGTTGGAATCTTTTTAGGTAACAGATGATTATGCCGCTGGATCTTGCTTCGTTGGTATTGTAGAGTGCGTGCCCAGCGCCTGATGTCACGATCCGCATTTGGCCAGATGAACGCTTTTAGCGTATCTGTTGGCTGGTTGACGTGCCGCTGATGCCGTGTATCATTCCGTGCACTGTCGAAGATGCGCTTAGTCTTCGGAACATACGGTCGTATGGTGCCTCTTGAACAGTCACAAAATAAAGATAATACAATCCTAGGATCGTTAGCTCCTTGAGTTCCAATGATGTTTCATCTCTATGTAATTGTTGCAATTTTTCATCATTAGTCTGATATTCTGCTAACTCCTCCGTGGTAACGATGACAAGAGTGTGGACTGCATCGACGTGCGAAAGTGCATCTGTAATTGTATTTTCCTCGCCAGATGCACAATGTCTGTGGTAAATTATGCAATCAAGTCCAGCTGGCGTGCTTGTCGTGCTTTCTCTAGTCACTGTTGGAAAGCGTATGTGAGTATGAGAATACGGCTTGTGGTCCGTCTTGATGACAACGCGTTGGCCTTGAATGATTTCCTTGAAGTGTTTGACGGCTTCGTAAACTGCCAGTAGCTTCCTGTCGAACGTGCTGTACTTCTTCTGCGCCGAGTTTCTTTGAAAAAAATGCTATCGGCTGTTGTCTGCCATTGTCGATTTGCTCTAAAACAGTTCCGATTGCAGTGTCTGACGCAGGTGACCGTCATCAGGAAGAGTGGCGATGTCTCGGATGTGTGAGAAGCGTGGCTTGCATCAATTCTGTCTTGCAATTCTCAAATGCCTTGATACTTTCATCACTCCAAGGTACTGGTTTCTTGTCATTTCTCCTGCAATCTTTTAATAATTCGTTTAATGATGCCTGATGCTTTGCTGCATTTTTTAAATCGCGTCGGTAATAGTTCACCATATCCAAGAATCTGCAGAATTGAATCATTGTCTGATGCCGAGGAAAATTTGCGATGGCTTTGACTTTGTGCTGGAACGGCCTCGTTCCTTCCGGAGTGACTTCATAGTCGAGGAATTCAACGCTGCTCTGGCTGAAAACGCACTTGCTTGGATTGATACCTGAATCTTGTAGTCGTCGGAAAACCTGTCGAAGCTGTTCACGATATTCTAATTCGTTTCTCGATGCTACCAGGATGTCGTCCACAGAAGTAAAACTCGAGATCTTAGAGGATGCTGTTCATCAATTGCTGGAATATTTGAGTGGCATTGCGCAACCTGAATGGCATAATAAAAAACTCGAATAGCCCGAATGGCGACAGTAACCGCTGTCTTTGATATATTCTCTTCATTTCACAGGCACCTGGTGATACGCGTAGATTAGATCGTGCTAAAGATTCGCTTACCGTGCAAGTTGGCCGCCAGATCGGATGTGTGAAAGCGGATAGCTATCTGGTGTCATGATAGTATTCAAGGCCCGATAGTCGCCACAAGGTCTCCAAACGCCATTCTTCTTTGGAGCCATGTGAAGCGGGGTTGCCCAAGGACTGCGTGAGTAGCGGCAAATTCCAAGCTCCATCAGATGCTGAAATTCCGCCTTTGCAATGCGGAGTTTTTCAGATGGCAGTCTGCGAGGTTTGCTGGCAATGAGAGATCCCCTCATCTCAATGTGATGACATATTCCATGCTTGCCTGTTGTTGCTTGCGATGACTACGTGATGACCGGAAAGTCTCGCAGAATGCAATGATGCTCGGATATCTAATCCAGCATCTTGATAGTCACATTGCGAATTGACTGCGAAAATCCTGGGACGCTAAGGTGCTTAGTGCGCTTGTCTATGATACGTCTACTCTCCAGATCGACCACTAATCTATGTGCTTTCAGAAAGTCGGCTCCGATGACTGCTCGAGGAATGTTGGCCACGGTGAAGCGCCATGTGATTGGCCAATACAGACCCAGATCGAGGCTGAGCAGCTTGTCATCATAAGTTTGTATCTGCGACCATTTACCGCATACAAATAAAATGTTGCAACAGATTGAACTTACCTCTGCAGCGAGAGATAGGAATGAAACATCCGTTCCGGTATCAAGAAGAAACTTCAACCCCGTTGTCCTGTCAGCAATGTGAAGTCTGAGCGAAAGACCATAGCCGTTCTCCGTGACTCTTACGTCGGACGGCCGTAGCCGTTTCCCGTCATTCTGCTTGCTACACAGTGCTCTATAGTTGAAGGTACGGTCACCAAAACGTGCATGGTAATAGCAGAAGCCGGATGACGACTGGTCACTCTTGTTGAACGACGGAATCGCCGACTTCGGCTGCGTAATCGGCGATTTTTCGTCCTCGTGGATGCTCCAAGCGTTCCAGTTTAGCGGAAAGCTGTGCCATCTGTTTAATAAGTTCGCAAATAGCTTCTTCTGTAACTCCGGATGGCCGCGATACTTGTGTCGTGGCGGCATGCTCTACATTTGCTGGATAGTCTGTTATTTTGTTAATGCACTCGGCTAACTTCTTCAACGAGTTGAGATGAGCCGAAGATGAGCAGGAGTTCCTGTACACCTGTGGGTAGCTGCTGTAGCCACAAGGTTCTTAGTAGCTCATCCGAAATGTGACCACCAGCCAGCGCTTTCATTTTCCTCAACAGCTTCATATTGCCTAACTCTACGCCCATCAGCAAGATCCGCAGTGGCTTCTCTTCGGAGTCGGTGAGGCGAGTTATGAAAACGCGTTTAATATTCTCATATTTTTCTATTTCAGGCAATTTCTCGAGGACGTCCGCAATGATGTCGAGGTTTCCTCGTCCAGGTGACGAGGTACAGCGTTGTACTTCTGCTTATCAAACCGCATTCGATACGTACTGAACTCGCAGTCTAAGTGCACGGATCAGAGTCTCGAACAATTTCGTCAGAAGGCAGGTAATTTCACATAATGAAACTCAGCGGGGAAATGTTCTGGAAAGTTCGATGGCTGATGCAAGAATGTTCTCTGCAGAGTCTCCTGAGCGAAGCCTTCTTCTGGGTCCTGAGGCACGGAGATAGACAGAGGATTTCGTCCCTGCGAACCCGAAGGGGTACGAGGAAGGGACATTTCTTAAAAAAAGGAAAGAAAAGAAGAAGAAAGAAAGAAGCCTTTTGT